CAACAGCTAAATGGGGTACCACCGTGTGGTACTGGTGAGGACGCTGTTGGGTAAAAGCAGCATTGTCTTTAACCAAAATGTATTTGCTGACAAAACACGCAACAAGAGAGTGTGACACTAAAAATAGATGTGTATGCACCTTTTTTTTAACTCCTTGTTTATCTGATTGCTTTTTAGCCAAAACTTTATTTTAGCCTTTGAAAGGTGGGGTAGGATTTTGGCTGAATAGCAGCACCGTCTACTTATCTAAGCACCTTCGGTGGTCCTTTCAATTATGCGTACACTTTCACCGTCCAAATGACGACCTCTTCTCTGGTATTTTGTTACATTGGCTTCTGTAAAACAAAAGCGTGTTAAGATTGTGCGATTCTGTTGGATGAATTTGAGGAAATTTACAACTTCGTATTTTGGTTGCCGTGATAGGTGGCATTTAAGTAGTGTTGTCAAAACCGTTCCGAGTGGCCTTCCGACTTTGTTTTTTTGGTGACCGTTCACGTCTTCTCGCACCATGACAAAAGCAGTCTCAAATCCCACAATACTTTGCAATCTGTTGTTTTGTCCATCTTGGATCCGTCCAGTCTTCCACTTTACGCACCCGTCTATTCATTCATGTCTCATTTACTGCAAAATCTTGATGAAAACATTGTATTTCTCCCTAGACAGCAAATGCGTTTGTCAACGGTCGGGCTCTCCTAATGCCTTGTTCGTGACTGATTTTCCCCCTTTGGCATCGGTAAATAATCCCGTAAATTCAATTCGCCCCTTTCAGTATCCCATATACCATCTCACTCCATCGTCAAGTCGGCTACAAATCTGGGCGTGGATAGGATGGATCCCCAAGTGGTTGCTTCACCCCCATCCAATGATCAACTCGGTGGCGCCTCACACACTCCGGACAACATGGAGACTGCCAATCCTACTCAAGTTGGTGGTTCTTTGCTTTTGTCATTTTCCTTCCTTTTACTTGCGAAAGGAACCTATCAAATTGGTGGCTAGTCTCTGAGATAAGGGAAAAATTGGGATTTTTAAATGTAAAGATTAAATATTTTTCTCCTTTAATTCACAAAAATGAGTTTAGTTATACGAAAAGATTCAACTAAGCTAAATTATTTTTATTTATCTGAAGATCAATCTATGATAAGTTTGCCAAGTTCCTGCTCGAGGGCTCGTCGAAAAAAAACGGATTTGCACTTTTCTGTCCAGGCAATTCCTCCCTAGTTTATGGGCTTTTCGCCCCCTTTTTAATGGTCAGTAAAAGTCGACTAAATTGGTTATTTAGTGCCGCAGTAATCGAGGAGAAAGCTAGAAGGGCTTCACCCGGACTTCGGTCAACAATCATGGGGTAGATTTTTGTGTCACCCTCTTAGTTCCTTTTACTAGGGGAAGGGGATAAATTCGATACACCTCAGACAGGTGAAGGGTTTGACAAGCGCCCACTTAAATGCACTTTCTAGGATGACTTGGAATGGTAGATCCAATCTAAGGGACTAAATCTTACCGTCTAAAAATTGGTGGAATTTGTTGGAAGGTTGAGTTGTCATCTTTCTTACACATCAGTAGTATCTACGAGCTGGGGTGTCCAATCCGTAGTGAGTAGAGAATTTGCGGTTGCATTTGAAGGCAGTAAAAAGTTCAACAACCATTAATTGCTATAAAAGTCGGCTTTTTGCCCTTTAATTAGTCCCACCGGCTCCGGTTGAAGCGAATGATAAAAGTGGGTTTTTAAAATTACCTTTACGACGGAGAAAGGGAATAGCGATAATTGCAGTTCTACTTAACCCTGCGCATCTGAAGGGTTTATCCAATCTCACGTCCGGAGGAGGCGTGCATACAGACAGGTTAGGCAGCAATAGGTCTGAAAGGGCTGTCCATGGGCCTCCAAGATGGTGGCATAAACCGCGGAGACCGGCGGGACGGGGGGAGGAGGAGGTGGGCGCCCACTCAAGCATACATGTTGGAAACACAGACGTTTCTCTTTGAGTTTAATGAACAATTGATAGCCTCCCTGTCACTGATTGCATCTCTTGCCTTCTAAAAGATTCGAAATGAAAAATCAACTGAAGCGGATGCGTCTTTATTTCCTATGCCCTACGAAAGAACAACTTTTGATGGCATGGAAGGACTCGATTAAAGGGAGCTCTTCCTCCATTCTCAACTTTCCCTTTAAATCGACCTTGTTTTATTGTTTGGAGAGGGAGCAAAGCTGACAAGTTTCAGCATTACCATCTCTTGACCTTTCATTCTCACAAAGCCTAATGCAACTGACCCCTAAGCTTCCTTTTTGATTAATCTTCTCGGGGCCTACCAACACAGCAGGAACACGCGTACCCAATCGCAGGGGACTTCATTAAAAACCCATAGTCATTGTGAGGCGAAATCGACCAAATTAATCTTTGAGTCTACCTTCCATTTCTCATAATTTTATTTAAAATGGTAACCGTCAAGTTAATAATATATCTAGTCTCTCCCCTTGTTAATGTAATCGGATCGGTAAAAGTGAGTTTGGGATTTGTAGACTTGGTTGTCATTGGAGATAATGATAATGATTGGTCACCACCTTTTTGAAAGGTCCTGCGCCATATCGATACTTGGGTCACTTTTTTAAGAAAAGTGCGGTAGACTTGCTGTAAGCATTCTTCCATTTTACTGGAAAAAAGTTGCATGAATGTATTTGCCTATAGCCTCAGCAGTCATGGCATTCTAATTAGGGAAAGGGGCAGTCGTTCAACATTATCACATCAGTGTCACCTATCCAGAATCTGATTTGTTTTACTTAACAATTTTTCATTAGAAAGACTTTTTTTGTAACTCCCGGCAGAACAAATTAAGCTTTTACCACCTTGCCTCCTCCTCTAAATTTTCCCGCTCCGCTAGCCAATGGTGTTTGTAGAATGTGGCAATGACCTTGAGCCTCAAGGGCTAGTAGCCAATTGTCGGCGATATTGGCAGTGGTCGATTGACCAATCATTTGTCAAACCCGCTTCTCTACCTTCCAAATACCCATTCAAACGTGATTTTGATGACTTTGTTTAGCGCTTAAGAAACTATGAGTAGAATGGCATGGCCGATTTCTATAACTAGTATCACGGCAATTTCTTTCTCCCAATTTTCTATAGCTCAAAGAAGATGTGGGTCTCTCAACACCCTGCTACTTCCTCTTCATCTCTCCTTTTAAATTCCTCTTTGTGAATGTCTGCTACAAAGTGTCCCTGAAATATGCGCCAATATGAATTACCATCCGATCGCTTTTGGTGTTGACGCATGCCTATCTGTCGTCTCTGCCTTCTGATTCATAGATTATTTATGTTCTTTTTCGTTTCATTTTGGTTCTTGTCAATTTGGAGACGGATCTTACTAACCCCATCATAAAAAAGGTACTGATTGTTTGCTGATAGACTCTGTGCCTGCATGCAGAAGTTTGTGTTTTCCCTCCCCAATTCCGTACGATTTATCTTGCGTAGATTCTTTTTGAGCGTTTCCAGTCAGTTGCATATTTTGCAGACAATCTATTTTAGTATCGCAATCATGTTTCTGGAAGTAATTTTATTATTGTCGAGAAAAATGGCCAAGCCGAGAGTAGTGAAGTTCCCTACCACTCATAAAGGCTGATTCTGCGCCAGCTTAAAGTTAACGTAGGCATGATTCTGTCGCAATACACCCGTCGTGTTTTGACCGTCATTGTCGATGCTTTCCGTGGTTGCTTTTCTGCTTCGGCCATCAAAGTAGTAATATGAGTATGCATGGAAACCGTTTGGGAGATAGGTACAAAGGTCATGTGATGTTCATCCATTACAACATTGTGTGCACCTCGTAGGTGCAAGTGGGCCTACTTTTCATGGCCTTTCCGCCAAATGGATCGTGAGAATTCCTAATGTAGGTATGTCCTGCGGTTGGACAGCGTTTATGCCAGCCGCCTTTTTGTTGAATGGTTTGTTTAGCATCATAGCACACACACACAATGAAGTGCATCGTAAAAGTCGTACTGCAGGGTTTTGACACGATTTCATTTCTCCATTCAACTTCATTACCGCAAGGAGTGGTTCAAACAAACAAACTGTCTGTTATTCCCGATCCGCCTATTGCAGGTCTCACACCGTTACCGGTCATGGGGATGGTAGATTTAGCCATCCCCAACAATTCCTTTCCTTCTTCTACTTGGATGAAGCATTTCTTCAAAAATGCACCACTTCATCTACTTCCTGGAAGTAGGTTTACTTTTGGCATATAGAAGGGATAAAAAATAGTTTTAGAATTTAATATCACCGTGGAGGCTGATACATGGGAGACTTGAGAGGAGACCCTCTAACAGACTGGTCACTTACTACGGCCTGTGTCTTCCAGTGGCTAGTACACCATTGTCCTCCGACCTTGTGCTCGACTTTTCTGGTGCAGCTAGGTGACAACACTACATTTTTTACTCTGAGGCTCTTTCCCCGCACTCTCAGTTGATACTGTACCTATCTTGAGAACGGTAGGAAATAAGGTGATGAATTTGCTTTCTGATTTCGGTAGAATTGCGATTTGGCACATTACGTCATCAAGTAGTTAAATTGACTCTTCTCATCCTGAAAGCCTCAAATCCCCAATTACTCGAAAAAAAGAGATTACAAGTTCCCTTCCTCTCCTCTTCTGTTGTGCATCTCACTATCTTGCTCTGTGTTTGCGATCATTTCTGTTATTTTCTTCTTCTACGCTCGCAAATTTTTCTTAGGCTTGACTGCCTATTTTTTTTCCAAACTTTACCCCTCTGCTTTGTTTTTTTTTTTCCAACTAAAGCGAACTCATTCCACCTTATCTCTTTCCTTTACCCCTCCACCTTTTCGACAGTTCAAGGACGACCCGCCCTATTGCAAAGAGGTGCGTTGTCATGACATTCTCTGCCTCACTGTTGCATGACCATGGAAATATGCAATAACTGGACCAGTAGCTAAAAGTGTGATTGAACAACCTTGCGGTTCAAACATCATTTTTCCTCGTAAATTCTAGTCTCCACGTAAATTTTCCTGCTTTTTGTAATCTGTCTCACCCTTCACAAGAAAAGAGCCGTTTGGTAATTATCGGAGTGGAGATAGCTAAAATCATTTTATAAGTAGAATATTTGATGTTAAAATTATCGTCCTTGGAGTTCTAAGATTGAAATTAATCCTTTGCAAAATCATTGAAATTCTCGAATATTGTCTTGCAGTTTGACCACTACTCTTGAGACGTTTCCACGCTAAAAAGCTTTTTTTTTCTTTGCTTAACTTTCCTCTACTTCAGTACGACCACCACTTCTTCAAGAAAGTGCCACACGGTGCGGAAGCGGTGAATATTTTGGTAGGGGAGACGTGCTTTCTGCGTCATCCGGTCGCGGCCTTTGTGCGTCTACGCGAGGCCTGTCGGCTGGGCGAGATGACCGAGGTGCCGGTGCCCACACGTTTCATGTTCATCCTCCTCGGCACCGCAGGCAACGGGGCAAAGTACCAGCAGATTGGACGGGCCATGGGAACCCTCTTCTCCGATGAGGTAGGATTGGTTTAGTTTGGGAAATACTTAAATATCGTTTGAGTAGCGGTGTTCTAAATTCGTTTCGCTATCCAAATTTGTCCATTTGTGTATCCGGAGACAATCTTTTCATCCATTAATCCACCCATCTTACTCTCCACTTATCTGTCTATCTTGTCATCTAGATTACCTCTCTAATTATTTCGAATCTATTGATCCATCTGCCTATTAATGAAGTTTTATCTATCCATGGGAGTTTAATTTCTGGCTAGAGATTTCTAGGCTATGTAGGGGACTTCCTTCAATACAGGGCTACTTTATGAGGAATGCCTTTTCTCCAAATAGATCGTAGGGCGCAAAAGTCTGGGTTCGAGGGTAGCAAAGCTTTATGCCATAAGTGAGAGGGTGAAATTGTGTCCAGTCGGTAAATCGCGCTTCACTTGTAATGACCATTGTGTACAGCGCCACCTGTCGTCGCTCCTCCAATTTGACCATCACGACAGGAATTGAGGGAGTTGAGACTAACTGCCAAATGGAGGCGGCAATAACACAATTATTGTCAAAATTTCACGGCTTTTGCCCTCGTTTTAGGTCGCTTTTCATGAAAAAGACTTTTAGAAGTAGATTGCGTCGGTTTCTAGTCGCTCCACACCTTCCAAACACATAAATATTATTGGGCCAAAATGTAACAGAGTCTCCTATTTGTTGTCGCCTTATCCCGTGATTGTGAATGTACTCAATGTTTTTCTGTCAACCGAATGGCAAAAGTGCAGGCCTTGAAAAGGTCATTGGGGTCGAAGTACACGTGAACTCTTTGTTTGCTTACCTTCGTTAAAGGCGAATGCACTTTTGGTTTGAAGGGGAAGAGGTGATTAAATGCCAAAGTTGGATTAAGTTCTCTCCCATTTTTTTCCTGGAACCTTTTAGATTTTCCTCGATTATGCAACTCGGAGCACATCTCGCAACGATCTGTTAGCGGGAATTGACGAGTTTCTAAGTGCCTCCTCCCTTCTGCCGCCGGCCCAATGGCATCACACCTCGCGTATTGAACCGCCGCACGAACCGCCCTCCCAGGTGTGTTTTGAGTGGCTAGGACTAGAGAATCACTCGTACTATTACTTAATGGCTCAGCTCAGTATTAGCAGTACTGGATGTAGTGAAAAGGACATCTCCGTCTACTTTCACCCTTAGAAGTTTCACTGAACATTTAATGGCCCCTACTACTGATTCTGCCCATAGGCAGGAAGTAAATAAGTAGTGGGCACCATCTTTCAACATACGCGTCCAACTAATTCGGTGTTTGAATCATACCTCTTCCTGCTCACCACTGCAAATGCGTCTTCGTTTTGTCCCTCACATCGCCACCTAACGGCTTTGAATTAAAAGTAGTATATAGAGCAGTTTGTTGTCTTGAGAGGGACAGGCAGTTTAATATCTGTAGTCTCCCGGTGATTCTATGCATTGATATAATATTATCAGTGAATGGTTATTCATATGAGTAAGTCAAAAATGATACGGCAGTTCAATTTCGCCGTAAGCCCTTCTACTTATCGTCAAAGCACTCATGCGAGTAGTATATGCCACTAAGAGGTATATATTTATGTTCTTGCGCAGCATTTGTTTCCAAAGTATAATAAATGGTTTACGACATCTTCGGATATGTAGTTCTCTGGCTACAATTTTGGATAGCACTTGAATCCCCCTAACTGAACCCAGATTAAACCTATTTCTGGTTTTTTTCCCATCCTATTCAGTGGTAAATCATTGTTACAGCTAGCATTGCAGCTTGCCCGCCTCCTGATTTTTCCACTTTAGTTAAGAAAAGGTCGATTTCTCCACCTACCAAAATTAAGGCATCCACTGAACATATCATTTTTTGCTATAGCACTAGAAACGTCAGTTGCTGGTCTTTTCGGATTCTCGAAAAGCAATTTCGCATAGCTTTTTTTTTGGAATCCAACACTATGCGTGCCTATATGTTTGAAAAGAGCATGGCTGAAATTCCCAACTTTTGCCAGAGTAGGAATGCAATCCACCGCCGAAAGAGGTGTACTTTTAAATCTTCAGTTTTGCCAGAATGGATGCAAATGCTCGGCAGTAGTCGGCAGTTTGAAGTAACATTTGCAGTTGAAGAACGTAAATGGCTGTGGAATAACAACTAGCTTCGGTAACACACACGTACGCATATTGCACAGCACCAAATGTCACCTTGAAGGTCCTCCTGTGTCTCCCCCCCAAGAAGGCAGTGGGCATTGGCAGAATGGCGTTGCGGCCTGCGGAGGCTCAAGAGCCAACGTAACCAAGCATCATTGTTTCATTCATCTCCTTAAACCATGATATCCTTCTCCATGCAGTGAGCATTTCACACTCTTATTCGTAGGCGTTTACCTTCATTGAAAAAAAACTTGTTCCCTTACTACCGCCCAGTTGCTAATGTTAACCACCTCCCCCCAATAGTTTGTATACGTAATTAAGTGCCGTTTGCATACCTTGATTATGCATATTTATTCAAGTGTTTACTGCTGTTATAAATTGCACTTTTTGAGTGCAAATTTATGCAACTTGAAGTATGTGATGAAAGGAATACTTGGCTCGCTGATCGTGTAGCCCTACCTAAGTGCAAATGGTTTTGCACAGGCTGGGTGCTCTCTACTTACAAACTCATTTAAGTAGATCTGTTTGATTTTTTTAATTTTGAGTAATTTGTGTGGCTGTTCGTAGAGGTTAGCCCTTTACTCTGTGTAAAAGCTTACCCATGTAGCCTGTGGGAACTTGAAAGTGGCCGTGATTTAATGAAGAAATATGGGGTTGTTGCAACTGGCAACAACTTTATTGATATTATGCCTCTCTCAAAAATATCGCTAGTTTTAACAAAAAAGCTCTAACAGTGACAATTCATTATAAAGAAAGAATTGCGGTTTCTGACCAGAGTTTTACCAACGTTCGAAGGTTGGTAACCCCCTGGGAAGACCATTAGTCTCTTTCGGAACTACTAATTTACAAATAAAGTAGTAGATGAATCATGGTACTAACGATGGATTTCCAATCAAAATGCACCTTTTTCTCGAAAGATTTCGAGTGGGAATTGTTGATTAATCCAATCTGAGTGTATCTGACTGTGCCTTTATCCATTACGAATCCACGAACTCGTCGATTCACCCACCCGCTCCATCATCAGCTCATTCTATCCATCATTTCAGCACATACCCATTCGGATACTTTTATCCACTTAAGCATTCAGTCATCCATCCATTTGTTGACTCACTGGATCTCCTTCCTGGGTAATCAGCGACAATATTTGTCCACATGGGCTCTGCCATCTTCTGTGAGGGCATTGATAATGCATAAATGGATATCACTACTGTTGTCATTTCTTCATTACTACCAAAAGCTACCCCTGCTACTAATTGCTAACCTAAGTAGTTGTACGCAAATCTTTTTATTTTTTTGAATTTTTTTTTACAGGAGAATCGCAAAGCGGCTGCAGTCGCTGCTGCTACAAACAGTGCTGCCCCAACGTCTGTCCAACAACAACAACAACAACAACCCGAAACTCACACATCATCGCGCCATTCTATCTTGCCTAAGATGCGTCACCGCCGTCACCACCACAAGAATGCTCGTCCGGAGTCGCTGGGCATTACGGAGGCGGCAGCTACAATAGCAACTGCCGTGGCGCCTGGAGCGCACGGTGGTGACGGGAGCGGTGGAAGAGACTCGTCTTTCTCCGCCTCACTATCAAAAGATGCCATCTCCGTGGAGAGTGGGGAGATGGGCGGAGGGGGAGGGGTGGAGGAGTTTGATCGAAACAACGATCCTGCGCTGATGAGGACGGGACGGTGAGTTGGATTTGGAGTGGATAGTTGGAAGGGGGTGAGATTGGGGGATTCATCGGGATTGCCTTCTGTCGTCTATCATCTCTTCCACTTCAAATTTATTTGTTCAATCTTTTTAAAAACTTTTTCATTTAGAGTACATCGGAGTAGGCACTCATTCATTTTAGGTGCGTCTATTAACTTACCAGTCTTTCCATCCGTCCAACCTGAGTCAAACATGCATCTACGTACCTATTCATCCATATGCTATCCATCCATCAGATCCCCCGTCCATTCTGAATGCATCCAACCTGTCCACATCCATCCATTCATGCATGTGAACATTAATTTTACGCTGGATACACCTCGTCGTTAGCTCACCCATCCCAGGTCAATACACAAATTTCGGAATCACTGATCCATGCGTTCATTCTTCTATCTAAGCCTCCACCTATACATTGATGTATCAAAGGCTTCACTCACCACTTGACTGTAATTTTTGACACATCTGTCCATCTACCTTGAATTCATCCATTCATTCTTCCATCTGTACATCCATCATTCAATTTCCCCGGCTTCCATCTGTTTGCCTCTATTCTTCAGTTACTTCATCCTCAAATCTCTCTGTGCAAGCATCTTTCCACACCTATCCAGCTTTTAATCTCTACATAAATCTCTCTATGGCTTTCCAGTCATAGTTGAATTTCTTTGTCGTCTTTTTTGCAGTCTCTTCGGTGGTCTAATTAACGACATCAAGCGTCGGGCGCCTTCATATCTATCCGACTATACGGACGCGCTACACATTCAGTGCTTCGCTAGCTTCTTCTTCCTCTACTTCGCCTGTCTCACTCCCATCATCACCTTTGGAGGCCTGCTCTCCAACGTCACTGGTGGCTATCTGGTGAGTTTTTTGACGTTTTGACACGCTTTCCTGTTAATTATTGAAGTCGTGATGAGCTTGTCTCATCCATCTTGTGATGCGATAAGCTTCTCAAGCGCTATAAATTATTCACTCTTTTATGTTCATGTTATATTTAATTCAGCTATGGGCACTGATTAATTTATCTAGCCTTAATTCCATCGTTGACCCATCCATCCTGTATCCATCACATATCCATCATCCATCTTGTATCCATCTGATCATGTCTATTCATTCATCTATACCTGTATCCATCCATTCCGTATCCACCACGCAGTCATCCATCCACCCAGTATCCACGCTATATCCATCCCGGATCCATCCATCCATCCTGTATCCATCCATCCATCCATCCTGTATCCATCCATCCATCCATCCTGT